TACTGTACATTTCAATATTGTCCTCAGTAGAATTATATGCTTTAATCAATTCCAGCTATTCTATATCTTCCACACATGCAGTTAGAGACAAATTATTCAATTGTAATTGTTTCAGCATCTTATATTTATGAGATATAAATAAAGCACAAATAAGTAAAAGATGCCTACAAATAAATCTTAGTAAAGACAAAAACTTTTTTGCAATTCTGTACAAACACAGCTCCAAATTAAATAAGTGTTTTCTGGAACCTGATTCAATATGACAAGTCATGTGATGTGCTCTCTACTATTTCCATGTGGTTTAACTCCAAATTACCTGGAAATAGATCAGGGTTCAGGTTACTGAGTACATCACCCCTGCATCCCCCACCGTGCAAAACTCAGGATTTATGAGTGGAGCAACAGCTGTCAAATAGCAAAAAAATGGCTTGTTTCATTAGCATGTGCTTCACACACACGCACACACACACACACACACACATTGGCATATAATACCACTTGATTTCCTGACTTGTAACAAAAACACTTTGGAACTTTGCAGATTCACTTGTGACAAATAATTTTGAACAATCAAATTATTGGTCCCTTCATGGCTACCTCAAAGAATATTGATTTTTAATATGTAAATATATGTATCTGAATGTATATTGTCATATTCATCTTGCTCGTCTTATTATTCTGCGAAGATTGTTTCTTTTCATGGTATAAAAAATTGCTCTGTATTTGTGGACACATTACTCGGATTTTATTTTCCACCTAAAATCCGGGTAGAGTGCCTCCACAACCTTCAATCAACTGTAATTGAATCAATTCATCTTCTATAGTCAAATCTCAAGTTCCCAGTTTCTCAAATTTGCAGAATCTGCTAGCTTATCTTAATCTGTGAAGATATTTTATTATTGATTCATTTTGTTTCTATTCAATGATTGTAAATGTGATTCTTTCCACTATGACAAGTTTCTGTCTAGGTCATAAATTTCTTTTTATCAATTCTGAAAATTTGATGGAAGTCAAATTCTCCAATTGTTTTGGGTATGCCATTACAGAAATTTTCATTATAGCTTGACAACCTACTGAAGCTAGAAAGAGATCAGTTATTTTATTTTTCCCCTCATCTTGCCTGGTTGTCTTTCAACTTTTTATACCTAACCTGACTGAAAAATAAAAGTTCTGGTTCATCTAAGTGACCTAAACATCCTATCAGTGATATCATATTGTTGTATAGTGTTGTTCTATCAGTATTCAACTTTTCTCCCATTCTCCTACCTGACTTTTTACTCTGTACTTTATTTCTACTATAACCAACATATGCAAATAGGTAAAATCCTAGTATGCCAGTTCCATTATACTAGTATGAACATTTGGCCTTGTGCCAAACTAAGTTAATCTTAGTAAAAAAAAATATATATATATATATATATATATACATCAGAGACAATATCCATTTCCTTAGCTTCATACCACAACAAATAGATCCAGGAACACACATGATAACATTTGACATTAGTAGCCTATATATCAGCATAGTCTATTAATTAGGTAAACAGGCAATCTCATCCTGAATTAAAAAAAAAACAAAATCTGTATCCCAGTATCGGCCAGTATTAATGAATTACACAATTTACTCCAAAACTTACAAATTCACCCAAGAACATAATTTTAACAAACTGCCATTCTTAGATGTACTCTAAGAAATAACCGTATTATCACAGATATCTACCACAAGCCTACAGACACCCAACAATATCTTCATTTTAAAAGCCATCACCCAAAAAGCTGTCTAAAATACATCCCCTATTCCCTAGCATGTAGGGTTTGCACTATAGTGGCCAACAAACATTTCCAAAAAACCCGCCTAGAAGAATCACATAAAACTCTCAAAAAACGAGGATAGTCCACGCCATAATAAACAAGGGTTTTCAACTAGCAGAAAAATACCTTTAGACCAATTACAAAACCCAGAAATAAAACTTAAAACATACAAGAACAATCCAGAACTATTTACAGAAATAAAAAGAAACTTAGACTTACTTAACAAGAATGATAAAATGAAACAAATACTAAAAACAACCAAAATAATTAAAAGAAAATGCCAATCAAAAAACCTATTACACATAACCTCATCCAAATTTAATCAACACAGAATACAAGGGATTGCAAAATGCAGCAAGATATGGGGTTTGTGATATAATTATAGAAGGAAACTCCTACACTTTTGAAACCACACAACATCATTCACAATAAAGAAAAACTTAAACTGTAACTCCAAAAATGCAATTTATGCATGCAGGCACACAAAATGCAACAAATCTTATATAGTTTTCACTCAAACACTAAACAACAGATTTCCCTGCAAAAAAGCAATATTAAATTACCAGACAACAGAAAAATCTTTGTGCCACAACACATCCACAAATGCAACAAGGGTAACTTTAAAATTATGCCAATATATCAAACAGACAATTACTCTTACCTCCAAATACAAGAAAAAAATCTTCATGGAAAAATTTAAACCAATTCTAAACAAATCATAACCCAACACACATAAACACACACCATATGCACATAGTGGCAAACACTAGTCAACCACACACACACACACACACACACACACACACACATGCCATGCAAAATGCATATAGTTACGGTATATATTTCCTTATAATAACATAATATATATGTATAGAGGACAAATATATACACACATAGTGGCAAAAATAAACACACTAGATGGACCACACACACACACACACACACACACAGAAACCTTACGCACCATACAAAGTGTATATATACACTATTTCCTTGTAATAATACAATATATATATATGGAGAAAGAATAAATATATATATATATATATATATATATATATATATATATATATATATATACATACTGGCAAAAAAACACACACAGTACATAAGAATAGAGGAAGATCTGAAGAGATATATGGGAAGATAAAAAGATAATAACAAAGACCTCTTTTCTTTCCCTAACTAAATTTAATTGCTATATTGCTCTTCAAGCAAAGGAAAATATTTTGGCCAGTCTAAAATAGATTCAGATGACTCCTACTATACACAAAAGACAATGGTTAAAAGACTTAACAGAGGAAGAAGAAAAAATTAATTCCTTTAAACAATATGTAGAAATAACCAATCTTCACCTGATGAAGATTACAAGACCTAAAACACATGTAGCAAAAAATACATTATATAAAAAAAACATTATATTCAAAAACGTTTGCAGCTTCTTCTCTTCTTCTTCTCTCTCTCTATATATATATTTCTAAGGAATTAATGGATTTTATTTATAATCTGATATACTGTTAAAAATAATAAGAATTAATAACATTCTTTTCTCTCACCATAATGTCTCAGTTTATTTATAGTCATGACCTTTAGATTGTTTATTGTATTTATATATTTATTTATTATTATTTATTTAGAAATCTCATTTATTTATTCTTGTTATATATATGTACCTTTCATATATTTTTCTTTGGCTTTAAGTTTTTGATATTTGAAATAAAGCTTATTACATTTAAGTTATGGGATTTTATTTAGTCTTTTTGATAATAATTTTGTTGTATGTAGTGTAGGGTAGGAGAAATTTGTTTATCTCTCTCTCTCTCTCTCTCTATATATATATATATATATATATATATATATATATATATATATATGAAAGAATATGATATATGAATTTTTGTATATCAGAATATAGTTATACAAATGAATGACAAAGTAGAAAATATTCTGTGTACTGCATTTCATCCTCTAGAAAGACCACATTGGCCTAAAGTAATATTTTTGTTGATGGAATTATATATGTGTAAGCAGGAGAAGATATAAAAATGTGAGTGTCAGTTACAATTATGTACCAAGAAAAAATGCTGTGGAAACACTGAAATTGTAAATTTTTAAATAATTTTTTTTGTTTTTTTCAGACATGTTTGAACTTCAGTCTAGTGTATCTCATTTAGTTTCCCTATGCTTTTGCTTTTGTTTTTATTACTTTTCTTATTAAGTGTCCCATATTGTGATAACTGAAGATCTGCCAGGAAAGGTGAAATGTTGTAAGAACCTGAACACAAATTTACTGTGGATGATCTAGTAATCAAAAGGTACTTTCTATACATTTTGGATTATTAAATTGTTTTCTCCTTTAATTAAAGCATAATTTTTAAAATTGAAATTACAGTCAGACTCATGATGGTAAGTGACTACTGAATTGAGTGTGCTGTTTTGTAAAAGATCTCTTTTGTGTTCTAAAACAATAAGACTTAATATAAAACAATAATAACCTAAAAGTTGAAGCAGGAATTTACTCTGTAATCTGTAACTATTGCCACAAGGTATACCAAGGAGAAATCTTTAGGAATTTAAATAAAAGATTATGTAAACACAGTGCTTTAGTTGCTCATTGTAATGAGTCAAAATCATAATTTTGAATATAAAAATGCTACTTTAATTAAGGAGGAAAGCAATTTACTAAGGCAAAAATGTATAGAAACTTCTTTGATTACTAGATCCTCCATGGTAAATTTGTGCTCAGGTTTTTACAGCATTTCACATTTCTTGGTAGATCTTTCTTGGTAGGTCTGTCCTATTCATTATAATATGTGCCTGACAGCTTGGCATATTTTGATCTAGAGCAGTGAGAAGAAATCTCTTGTTTCAACCCAGTCTCTGCAATAGGTCAGATTTTATCAATAACACAATCTTGTCCTCACAATCGGTATTGGCCATGTTAGCCTTTTCATTCATTTAGCTTTCAGATTAGCTAAATAAAGTCCAAAGAAGACAAGTTATTATTATTGTTATTATTAGTAGTAGTCATATGGCTGCTTTGTTAGTAGAAAAATAGTATTTCCTGTTAATATTTAGTCTCAGCTCTGATATCATATGTTAACGACAGCTAAATAATTTGTTATCTCTAAAATCTAATGAATTAAAATAATTTAAATATTTCAATTATAATTCTCTTGTTTACTTACCTTTATCCAATTCATAAACTCTGATTCCTGCTTTTGAGCCACATATTAATTGATGCCACCTAAAATTGATTGACATGCTGTAGACAGGAGCTCCAAGCTATATGGAATCAAAAACAAAAACTTTAACAATTCTTTAAAAGATAAATGCAAGTTAAGATTTGATTCTTGGTTAGTTAAAATTAATTCAGATTTAGCTGCAAATCAATCCCAGATTTTAATGAGGACTATCGTTGTAAACCTTGTAGACTGGTAGTACAGAATCAGAACCAAAGAACTGTACCAAATGGCATAATATCTCAATATGACACAATATTACTAGACCTTGTAAATAGACTTAAACCCATGACAGATTTTACTTTTGGAATCAAAATTAATTACCTTCCAAGATATGCTAAATAGAACCAATGATAGCTTCCAACTAAAAGTTAACAAAAAATCTACCAACAAGGATGACCTCATAAAGTATTATTCTCAGCACTGTAATAGAATAAAATTTGGAGTAATTATAGGGTTTTTTTTAAGAGCATTAAGAATCTGCAGGCCCTAATATTTATATGAAGAAGAAATATATATTGAAAATACCTTTCAAAAACCGCCAATACCCTTATTATTTCATCCACAATGCTAAAAGAAATCATGCAAAATCTACAACATAAAAGATAATAATAATGATAATGATAATAAATTTTCTTTTCCTCAGTCACCAAATTACCAACACTAATATATTTTAAGCAACTAAAAGAGACTCACAGATTAGTGTATGAATTCTTATTATTATATAATTAATTTGTAATATTAAATTTTAACTTTGTTTATTTTTCCCATTTGCTTTTAATTGTTCTCATGCAGATATAGAAGATTTCTTTTAACTGGATAAATGGTAACTTTTAATGCATTTAAAAAGTTTATATTTTCTTCTCTTCCTTAAAGCATTTAATGTATTCTTGTTTAAATTTATTTGGAAAGTAGAATATTTCTATCATATCTCTAGTGTGCCTTTTTTAACCTTGATTCAGGCCCCTCCCTACTGATTGACTCAGATGAATGATGGTCATAAATATAGGTAGTTAAATTTCCTTTTCCTGAGTAACCAGTTTGCCAATGCTGAGATATTTTTACCAACTAATAGTGATTTAATGGTTAGTATGTTTTCCCTTGTCTTCCCCATATGGTGTAGACTCTTCAAGGATATAAAAAAGGAAAACCAAAAAAAGAAAAAGAAAAAAAGTAAAAAGGGAGAAAAATCAGGAGTTGGATTTTGTCTTTTTCTCACATCAATGGGGTTCAAGAAAATTTTAACAAAATTAAAACCTAATATTTTTGTTTAAATCTTTCTGTGTTCATCAGTATGATGTTTCTGCCAATTCTAGCAATTCTTACTCATGAAAATTTGTTTTACATTATGAAATAATAATGATGAATAAATAGTAATTAATAAGCTGATCAGTTAATCAACAGTTGAACTATCCTTTAATATATCTAATATAAGAAAGATTTTGTTATAAAATATTTCTGAAAGGACTACTCTCTAGAAACTCTCAAAAGAGACAAGTTAAAATGATGCTAAGAGGGTATCCCATTGGTAAACCAAATTTTTGTTTATAAAAGTTGTTGTTGAAGGTAAAAAATACTGATTAGTAATAATTGGCATATTTTTGTGATATTGTGTGGGGATAGGTAATTTTATTTTTAGTTTTGTTAAATGTATTTTAAGTAAATTAAAAGGTTTTTATGCATACAAAATGTACAAAGATTTTATATCTAAACTAGTCATATCTACATTTTTAAATATTTTAATAAGTTCTAATAAGATTTTTATGTGTGAGAAATTAATTTCACTGAGTAGTAGGGTATTAATTACTAAATAAAATTTCTACCCAACAAAACACATTACAGGTTTTCCCCTTGTCATTTCTTTTATCAAGTATGTATGTATGCATGTATACTGATGTAATGGAATAACCTGTCACTCCCATGAGTGATACACTATAGGTAGTAACTACCTGTAAGTATATGTAAGTCAACGGACTACAGAGTCTAGCTGAAATCTTTTTCAACTATACTGTCAAACTATCTGCCTTCAGGCAGAGAGGAAACTGGATAAGGCTATGCTGAAGAGCAAAGTCTCATTTGAAGAGGTAGGCTGACCCGATCCCATTTATGTGGGGTCTCTGGGGATTTTTTGGCCAAGCCTATAGGCTCAAGAACACCACATTAAATTCTGCCTTGTGCCACATGTGACTGCGTGGTGCAGATGCTAGATACTCTAGCTGGAATCTGTTACTCAGAACTCAGCTGTTGTCAAACTCTCTGTCTTCAGGCAGAGAGGAACCCGAACGAGGCTATGCCAAAGAGCAGAAACCCCATCCAGGGAGGTAGATAGACCCGATCATGTTTATGCAGGGTCTATGGGGATTTTTGGCTGAGCCTACGGGCCCCGGAACCCCACATTAAATTCAGCCTTGTGTCACATGTGACTGTGTGGGGCAGTTGCTATATACCATCTAGCTGGGATCTGTTACTCAGATCTCAGCTGTTGTCAAACTCTCTGTCTTCAGGCAGAGAGGAACCTGGACGAGGCTATGCCAAAGAGTAGAGTCTTATTCAGGGGCACAGACAGACCTGAACCAGTTTATGCAAGGTTACAGGGAATTTTTGGCTGAGCATACGGGCTTGGATTGCACTACATTAAATTCGGCCTTGTGTCACATCCTACCTCGTGGGGAGGCTGGTAAATATTTTTAGCTGGAATCTGTTGAGTACAACTCAGACTTACGCTAGAACTACCGACCTTCCAATGGTAGCACTCACTACTGGACTGACTTGTGATGACCTTGTACATAACTGTTACCCTTATTCTTATTGTACTGATTTTCACAATAAACCTTTACTTATTTTATCCACCATTTTTTTCATGTATATATTCCTATTAGCATGGAATATAACATATACATACATACATACATACATATATATATATATATATATATATATATATATATATATATATATATATATATATATTTGTATATTTAGGCAGCAATCCTTCCTTTATGCATGTTTCATTAAAAAACGACAGACAAGGTACTACAGTTGAGCTTTTTATTTAATTTTTCTTGTGTTCTGACAAGAGCTTTCTTTTCTGGACAAAGAGTGTGTAAGAACTGTCCGAATGTTCTGTGTTTCCGAGCACTTTCGGCTATACCTTTAGCCATTATCAAGGATGGTTCAATTATCAGCTTAGTAGAGTGTGTTCTATGTATGTTCAGTGTGTGGTAGTGATGTTTTAGTTTCCGAATACGGTTAGCACATTAGGAACATACTAGTAGAAAACACTAATATATTAACTGCATCCACTTGCAAAAAAAGACTAAAAATAATGGAAGCTCTAATAATAAAAAAGAAAAAGCCAACTCTTAACAATATCAACTATGAACAAAGCCACAATGTTCTAACCGTATTCGGAAACTAAAACATCACTACCACACACTGAACATACATAGAACACACTCTACTAAGCTGATAATTGAACCATCCTTGATAATGGCTAAAGGTATAGCCGAAAGCGCTCGGAAACACAGAACATTCGGACAGTTCTTACACACTCTTTGTCCAGAAAAGAAAGCTCTTGTCAGAACACAAGAAAAATTAAATAAAAAGCTCAACTGTAGTACCTTGTCTGTCGTTTTTAATGAAACATGCATATATATATATATATATATATATATTTATTTATTTATTTATTTAGAGAGCAAGAGGCCAATAATCAGTATGGGTATAGAAGTCAATATTGTATAGTGAATGGTAGTTTCACAAGTTAAGCAACTCACTTAAATTTTGAAACTGCCAGTTACTCTGCAATGTTTATTTTATGCCCACAAATGATCTATACCTAATATTGAGCACTTCTCCCCAAAAAATAAATATAACAAATTTAAAACAATAGCATTAGATATATATATATATATGTGTGTGTGTGTGTATGTATATATATATGTGTGTGTGTGTGTGTGTGTGTGTGTGTGTGTGTGTGTGTGTGTGTGTGTGTGTGTGTGTGTGTGTGTGTGTGCGTGTGTGTGTGTATCTATAGATAGATATATCTGTGAGAGTGTGAAAGAAAGAAAACTTAATCGACTTACATAGATGGATATAAGATTTTATCAATCGATTCAACAGACACATGTTTAATTAATCAATGAAATGTTTTTCTTTGTTTCAAAATTATTGTAAACTTCTGAAAGGAATCAATAACAATAAATAATAAAAACAATTTTATTAACTGCCAAAAGAAATGAATGTGAAAAGTAATTAGATAATTCTTCTTGGTGAGCTGCTTGTGAAGTGACAAGCATGCCTATAGTTTAATTTGCTTGTTGGACAAATTATATAAACAAGAAAAAAAGAAGAGGAAAAGAAAGAAAGTAGAGAATGGAAAATGAGAAAGAAATGAAAAAAGAAAGGGAGAATAATTAATAAGAATGAGTGAAAAAAAGAAGTAAGGAGAGAATTCAGGAAGAGAATTGAATTTTTAGAGGCATAAAGCAACAGTGTGATGACAGAAAACAAAAGAAAGAAATGAAAAAAATGAAGAAAGAGTAGAGAAAATGACAGGAAGTATGGAAAAGAAAGAATAAGAAGAGAAAGAAGAAAGTAAAGTTGAAAGGAAGGAAAAGACAATGAAAAATAAAACTGGATAAGATGAAGTTTAAAAATAAAATAAATGGAAGAGAGAATGAATAAAAAAGTAAAGAAGAAAAGGAGATATAAAGGGAGAACAGAAAAGAGGAAAGATGTAAGAGTTGAACTAAAAAAAAATAAAATAATGAAACAATAAGAAATGTAGACAAAGAAAAACAGAAAGAAAGATTTAAAAATAAATAATGCAGAAAGAAAACAGAATTAAAAAATAAGAAAAAGAAAAATAAAGTAAAAAAGGAAATAATATTGATAATAAAGAAAGAAAGAAAACACCATTGATTTCATTGTGATTTAGTGTGAAGGTGTTTGGAGGGGAGTTCTGTCCACTTGTAATAGGGAAGGGTCAATATATAATTACAAATGAAAGTAATCTTCTCA